TTTTTTTTTTTTTTTTTTTTTTTTTTTTTTATTGTACTGTGGATCAAACTCAGGCCCTTACACTTGTTTGTTTTTTTGGTTTTTTGGTTTTTTGGTTTTTTTTTTTTGGTACCAAGGATTGAACTCGGGTCCCTGCACTTGCAAGGCAGGCAACTGCTGAGCTAAATCACCGGCCCTGGCCCTTACACTTGCGAAGCAAGCGCAGCACCAATGTGCTAAACCCCGACACTGATGGGAGGCTTTTCTTGAGCTATGTCATATACTCTGTGGATTGGAAATTATTTTTAATGGACATTGATTGGAATGAATTGATTTGGTAGAAACTCTGATTATGGCAAGTTTGTATCCTTTCTATGATTTTAGAGGATAAAGTGTGTTCAACTTATATCCCCAGTGAAACTTAATTAATTTGGTTCTTTGAGATCATTTTATGAGAAAGAAAAGTGGAAAATGAGGTGATAGATAACATGTAGAATATTATCAAAAATTACATTTTAAAGTTTTATGCCATTTTCACTGTTACCATTAGATGTTCACAAACTACCTTTATAATTCTGAGTACTTGGAATTTAAAATTATTTAAAAACCTGTCCTTGAGAGATGAAAGAATCATCATAAAGATAACTTCACTTGTATTCCTTCCTCTATAAAAAATTTTAATATACTATAATATGTAATATAATATAAGAATATTATTTTTAATATAAGGACTTTACTCTTTTGTAGCATAACTGTGTTTATGGTCAAGATTTTGGCAAGTGTTATTAAGATTATACGTGCATAATGATTTAATACCTTTTCCTGACCATTACACAATCCTTTTTTTCTTCTTTAATACATAATAGATAATAATAGATATAGTTGCTGTTTATCACACATTCCATATGTTCCTACTTTAAAACAGTGGAAACTGGTTTCTATAGAAGTTAAAGTGTGTCAAAAGCTTGTTAACCATTCTTCTGTTTAATATTTCCCTTGATTTATTGACTGCTTTTCTTATTGGGTATATTATTTTTTTAAATCCATTATTTGTTCAGATTCTTTTCCCTCCACTGAAATTTTTAATTTTGGGTTAAAGATTTGTGGAGAGAAATCCAATTAAACTTCTCTTTAATGAGACAAAAGGAGAAGCTTACGTGGCTTTTGTCAAGAGTTACATTAATTTTCACTTTTAAATAAATTCTGGCATCATCATTTATGAAGAAGCATTCTGATGCCAAAGCACCAAATTGAGGCTACAGACAAACAACTCTTATTTCAACAAATGGTTCTGATTTTATTTTTCTGTTTGATAATTCCAACATAAGGAATTAAGTAATGAAATGAAGATTCAGTTATTTGCAGAAATTTTATTTTTTACTTTGAAATGATGGAACAAGATCTATGGAAGCAATGCTGTGAGAGAAGGACTCACGAAGTCTTAAATGAGCCCAGTTTCTCTATTTGCTTATCTATGAAAAACCAAGACTGTGATTCTAATTTTTAAACTTCCTTAGGCTTCCAGAAACTTCAGCTCAAATGCCAAATCCTCCATCAAAGGTAAGAAATTGTGACAAATATCTTTGGGTTACATGAAAAAACAATCACTTTTACCACATGAATTTAGATTGTTCTAGAATAGGGATAGATGGGACCCCTATGTAGAGTAAGAAAGGGACATGGGCCCTTTAAACCTCAGGAGAAAAATGATCTCTGTGATCTGACCTTTATTGTTGCAGTTGGTACCCAAGTTTCTCTATCAGCCCACTGACCAACCAACCAACTGGGCAGAACAGCCCCAGAAGGAGGGACCATCTCCTTACACCATAAATAGAGGACTGCTGGCCATACTCTGCACTTACCCAGCTCTGGGGACTCCACTCCTCAGAGTGGATTTGTATCTTCTGTCAGTAAAATTTACCCCTCCTTTGTACTATCTTCTGACTCTTCTTATATCTATATTAGAGAGAGAGAGAGAGAGAGAGAGAGAGAGAGACAAGCCCAGGAAAATTCAGTGGTAGGCTGGTGACCCCAGGCATGACACTAATATATTTTAAAGCATATAAGAGCAGTGGTGGTGAACCTATGGCATGCATGTCACAGAGGGGTTTTTTTCGTAACATTGAAAGCTCTAAAAGGTTCACCATCACTGGCATAGAGTGATCCAACTTTGGAATATAGATTGTGTTGGGTTCTGCATCAGTATTTTTCATTTTGTACATTTTACTTGAATGGTGAAAATCACATTGATTTTTAACAAGATAATTCTGTAAACATATTCATATACAGTGGACCCTTGATTTATGAACTCCTATCAGTTCCTGAGGGCTGGCTATAACTCACTTTGGTTGTAAGTCAGCACATCTGAGATCTGGATGTTTAACTGGGTACAAGCTATAGATAACAAGAGACAAACAAATCTTCCATTAACCTCATTAACCCGAGTTGCTCATAGGTCAGGCCAATTGTAACTTGATGGTCTGTGGAATAATTAAAATGGATTTTTTTATATTCCTGGAGATTGACCCCACTTCCATCCCAACCCTTTTTTGTCTTTATTTAGAGACAGGGTCTCACATAGTTGCCCAGGCTGGTCTGGAATTGACATCTTCATGCCTCAGTCTTCTGACAGCTACTGCACGTAGCTGTAAAATATCCTTGAGTTAGGAAGGTCACAGTGAATTTTATTGATCACTCAGAATACTCCATACACAACCAACACATTTTTCCAAATCTATTGTCCCTGGGCAAAAGCACTCACAGGATGATATTTGTAATACAGTTCTTTGACCACCAAATGTCTTTTCTGCATTTGAAATTAATTGAGTGATTGTCATCTGTTGGTAGGAATCTTTCTTCTCCTTGAGTCATTCTTAAACTGTCAATCTCAGTTGCTCTACAGTCTATACTTATGTCTCATATGTAACCACTAGATGCCCCATATCATCAGTAAGTGTGCACACATCATAATGAGCAGTGATGTGGACAAGAGCAGTACAGCTGCAGGCAGATCCCACCCAGGGTCCTGCCCTGACCTAGTGGCTTGGGCACACAGGCACAGCCAAGGGCCTACCTGGAAAAGATCTGCACAGGCACACAATCAATAGCCAGAGGCTCGCCCCAACACCATTGTTAAGTGCACAGACACCCAAGACAGAAGCCTACTCAGACAACAGGAACTAGGATGCACAGCCCCCAGCCAGAATACCGCCCAGATGACAGGTCATCTCAGGGATCCAGAAGGCCCCCATTCTGAACCCAGGAATTGGCGCTGTGCCAAACAACAGAGAAACGGCTGCTTGGTTGCTTGCTGAGAATTGAAGAACACTGGGTGAGGAAAAAGTTGCCTCAACAAAGGCAAAGCAATCTACATCTGTTGAAATGAGAAGACATGTGAAAAAGTCTCCAGACTTCTAGATAACCTAAGGCAACCCCAAAGGGAAACAAATCTGATACTCTACCAGCTGAACTCCCTGAACTACAATAAGAGAGGATATGGAAAAAATGAAATCAGAAATAATTTCTCAGATAGTAGCAGAGATTGTGCCCATAGTGCAAGACATAATAAATCTAGAGTGGATACAGATTAAAAAATAGAGGAGCTGAGGAGCACAATGGAATTCCAACATAGGAAACCAGTGGAATCCATAAACCAGATGCAAAGAGATTTCCAGGAGATTAAAAACTTGCTGAACAAGCCAATTTGAGGACAAAATTTCAGATATAGAAAATAGGATTTCCATTAGTGATCAGGAAAAGAAAATTTTCTTTAAAAAACTAAGGGATCAAAAGAAATCAATCCAGCAGCTACTAGACAATGCAAAGAAGAATAATATAAGACTGAGTGAAGTCAATGAACAAACATTAGAGAGTGCACATGACATAAAAAACTGTTCACAGAGTAATGGCAGAAAACTTCCCAAGTAGGGGAAAAGAAATTGACATGCACATAACTGAGGCATGTAAGACTCAAAACTAGCCATGATCAGAAAAAGTCTACACTCGGGCATATAATAGTTAAGCTTCCAGACACCCAACAGAACAAAATTCTACAAGCAGTTAGAGGAAAGAAACAAATCACATTCAAAGGAAAGCCCATCAGAATTAGAGAAGACTTCTCAACACAAACCCACAATGCAAGAAGAGCCTAGAGAGACATATTTCAAGCCCTAAAGAAAACAGCCTCCAACCCAGATTGATATATCCTGCAAAACTGTCTTTCAAAATTGATGGAGAAATAAGATAATTTCATGAAAAACAGTAGGGCTGAAAGGGGGTCCTAGTTGGGGTAGTGGATAAGGTCCATTGGGATGTTGAGCTAACATGTTACAGTAGAAGGACAGTAGCCATCATGGTTGGCTCCATCTGGAGGATTATTTGCATCTTGACAGCATAGATTCTATCTGAAATGAACTGAGTAAGGCTGTTTAGTATAAAAGAGCCAAATAGACAAAACAACAAGCAAGCAACCAAGGGTCCCAAGAGGGGAAGGAGCCAGGTGGATATAGAAGGAAACCAGGGTTTGATCTGAGAGAAGACTTGGGCCTCTAGGGAGTCTGTGGCCCCCTGGTCATGGAGGTACTTAGTCTTCTCCAAAATGACGTAAGTTCAAGTCTCAACCTCTTGAGAGGTATAATATAGGTCTAGCAGGTTCCATTAAAACCTCCACAAACACCTACCTGATGGGCCAGCATCCAGTCTAGTATTTACTTGTATTCCAAAACCATAAGTGTCAGGGAGTCTAGAGATTGTTAGAAGTCCTGGAAATTAGTATCAGTTAACTGGGCAACTTCTGGTGTAGTGGCAGTGAGGTTTGAGATTTGTACTGAATTGGCCACTATTCCATAGGTTAGCTCCACAAAGGTTGCTATGAGTACTATGATCCCTAAGACTAAAGGAGTGATGAGTTCTTTTTGTGTCAAGAAAGTCCTCTTGTTCCCAGCAGTTCCTGAGTTCAAAAAAAACTCATGCACAGTGGTCTAGTTTAAAGCCTATACAGAACTTGGGGATGATCACAAATGTATTAAGCCCCAGGTTCATCTACTTTGATGAGGATAACCATAGTCCCTGATTGTACATGGTTCACATCATGAATTCAACCTTTTCCATAAAATAGGAGTCTGGGAGGGGCATAAAACTTTCCAGAACTTTTGGAAAAATTGGACCTTTCTGGTGAGAATCCCCTTGAGGGAACAAGGTATAAGGAACAATTCTCAGGGAAGTGACTAAAAGTGACCTCCAGACTTGACACATTATGTTGTCACCACCAAGCCATTAACCAGGAGTATATATCATCTTGGGTCCCCTTATAGCTGGGTGCAGTTAACTCTAGTTGAATAAAAACAAGTTGATTAGAAGCTATTTTGGGGTACCAGACTATCATGTTTCGCAAAAAACTTTAGTACAAAATCCTGCCTTATCTGAGGCTGACAAGCTTACCCAGCCCCCTTTTTATTGACCCCATCACCAGAAATTTTCCCTTTCCCCACACTAAGATTGTCTTATCTCATTAAAATTAGAGTTGATGTCCGTGGCCCAAATCCAGTTGACCAAGTGCACACCCTCTAGAGCTGGCACTGGGATTCCAGTGAAAGCCATGAATGGGTTAGGAATTCAGGAGGTAAAGTTGACCTTATTAAGACCTGAACCTGGGTAGATATGGAACCATGGTGGTAAATAATTTGGGAGTGGAAAGCAGACCCAGCAGTCACAGTCAGTCTAGTCAGAAACCAGAACTCCTGCCAACCACAGGAAAGTGTTGTTTTCCCAGGAAAGGGCAGGGCACCCTTCTTAAGGGTGGGGAAACTCTTCCAAGGCCATAAGCAACCTCCACAGGGTCAGTCCCTGTCACAGAAGTGATTCCACCTTGAAGGTAGCAAACACTCAAACTGTAAAATTAACCAAATTCCCAGTAAGATCCACAACTCCATATATATTCACATTAGTTGGCATACTTGTAAGTCTTTCAAAGAGAAGTTTGTGATCTTCTATAGTTTTCCATGATGTGTAAGTGGACTTGGCTGTTGCCTTGGATAGTGACAGAAAGGGTTCACTTTTGGATCTCCAGAACCAATCCAAAGTTTTACCCAGAAATGATTGTATCACATCACCTTAACTTCAGTAGGGGTAAGAAGGATCACTATGTAGGGACTCTTCCATCAGGGTTTCTTTAGATCCTTGTCTAGAGCCTTGCCCAGTACCAGAATTCCAGGACAGAAGAAAGGCTCACTAGGTGGAGTGGGTTCGAGGTTTGTTTGCCTCAAGGCTGACAAAATTTGCTGAAACTAGGTTAAGAACCTCATTTGCCTTAAGGCTTCCTAGTTTTCTCATAGGGATGTCTTTCCTAAGGAAAGGTCTCCCATATAAAAGCTCAAAGGGAGACAGCCCTGAAATCTGAGTATATTTCTAGCCAATGTAAGGGCCACAGGTAGGATCTGTTTATACATTTCTGTTTTACATTCCTGTGCCAACTTGAGTATCCTCAAAGTCCCCTTTGAGTATCCCATTAGTTCATTATACCTGTCTTCTTGACTGTGGTTTCCAGGCACAGTGCAAATGGT